AAAGCAATTTTTGTCGAGGAAATTCCATGGAAAACAACAGAAAATCAGTGAAGAATGAAAAGCGTGTGTTATCGGCGGGCATATGCAGACACCCAAAAACACACTCACGCACACCCACTTGAATTCGTTGTAATTGCGTTAACAGACAAAATTCGTTGCTACCCAAAACAATAGAGGGGGGGGAGGGATGAGGTGGTAGAAAGAAGAGGGCACACATGAATGTCTATTTCAATAGAGTGAAGTTATAAAAGAAGAAATGTATTATTTGAAACAATGAAGAAGACCTTTAAAATAAGTGTGATTATTCCAAACGTCGTCTATCCGAACGTTGACTTACAAAAGGAGAACTAGTAAGTTCCCTTAACCAATAGGAGGTACTCAGTTTATCAGAAACCTTTAGAAGGTCCTCTCTTTACACAAGAACGTCACAAGGACTTGTGTTTACAGCAGTCTTCGGAAAGATTATCCAATTTCGGAGAACTTCGGATGGTCTCCCATCTATTGGAAACATCCTGAAGATCTTGTTTTAATACGTGCTCTTCAGAAGGTTTTCTATCTGTAAGAGACCTCCATCTATAGGAGACTTTCATGAGGTCATCTATCTATAGCAGACCTTCATGAGGTCATCTATCTATGGGAAACCTTCAGGAGGTCTATAGAAGGCCTTCTGAAGGTCTTCTATCTACAATATACCCTTAGAAGGTCTTCTATCTATAAGAGATCTTCAGGAGGTCTTCTGCCTGTAGCAGATTTTTAGAAGGTATTTTATGTATAAGAGACCTTCAGAAGGCCCTCTATCAATTGGAGATCTCCAGAAGGTCTTCTATTTATAGATGTCCTTTAGAAGGTCTTCTACCCATTGGAGAACTTCAGAAGGTCTTCTATCTATAGGAAACCTTCAGAAGGTCTTCCATACATAGAGGACCTTCATAAAATCTTCGATCCATAGAAGACCTTCAGAAGGTTTAGAAGGTCTTCCATACATAGAGGACCATCAGAAGGTCTTCCATTTATATAAGACCTTCAGGAGGTCTTCTCTCTATAGGATACCTTCTATCTATAGGAGACCTTCTGAAGGTCTCATATAGATGGAAGACCTTCTGAAGGTCTTCCATCCATAGAAGACCTTTAGAAGGTCTTCCATCTATAAGAAACCTTGAGAAGGTCTTCCATATACAGACGACCTTCATAAGATCTTCCATCTATAGGAGACCTTCAGGAGGTCTTCCATGTGTAGGAGATTTTTAGAAGGTCTACCATACATAGAGGACCTTCATAAGATCTTCGATCCATAGAAGACCTTCAGAAGGTCTTCTATCTATAGAAGATCTTCAGAAGGTCTTCGATCTATATAAGACCTTCAGAAGGTCTTCCATCCATAGAAGACCTTCAGAAGGTCTTCTACCCAAATTAGACCTTCAAAAGGTCTTCTACCCAAATTAGACCTTCAGAAGATCTTCTATCCATAGGCGAGGTCAGGAGGAGGAGGCCTTCAGAAGGCCATCTATCTATAGGAGACATTCAGAAGGTCTTCTATCCGTAGGCGACCTTCAGGAGGTTTTATTGGTATTGGAGGCCTACAGAAGGTCATCTATCTATAGGAGACCTTCACAAGGTCTTCTATCTATAAAAGATCTTCAGAACATCTATTTCTATTTATAGGAGACCTTCCGATCTATCTACAGGAGAACTTCAGAAGGTCTTCTATCTATAGGAGATCTTCAGAAGGTCTTCTATTTACAGGAGACCTTCAAAACGTCTATTCTTATTTATAGCAGACCTTCATAGGGTCTTCTATCTTAAATTGTTTGTCTTCCGAATTTCCAGCATTTCACTACCAATTCCCCTTTATATCTTGTCATAGCCATAAAACACAAACGTACATAGGAACATATCGACATCATATTCCAAGAATTGTATGGCATCATTAGACGCACACGCTTACTTTTAGTTACAGCCTGGCCATTACTCTATGGCATGAAATTCACAGTTAGATGTTAGAATTGAATAGAGCCCCATATGTGTGTCAACGTTACAGTTATCACGATGGTGGTCGCCAGTCGTCAGTCGCCATCTTGACCATATCCTGCTGCGTATGCAGATGTTGAATGGCTGAGTTTTTTGTTCCGTCTGCTCTTCATTACGTACTTCTATAAAGTTCTGGTGGCAATTTTTGTTTTTTACATCTCTGACTGCCCCTTTCAGAGGCGACTGTTTTTTCTCGAATGCCAGCCAAGTTCTTACAATGCTGCAGACCATTGTCCTGGCTAAAAGTGTTATTAGATTTGGTTAGCGCCATAGTTTGGTGGTCAAATGCAGTAAATGCGAATGGTTAAGACCAAAAAATGATATCGGGGGAAGGAAGAGATGGAGAGAGGTTTCAAAGGCAAGTAGAACAATCGCTGCGCTTTTTTTTTCTTCCTGCGGTTTTGATTTCCAGTTAAATTTTATGGTATTTCTCACACACTCCCATTTTTTTCACACACAATGGCTTGCATCACTGTTTCTGTGTGTGTGGAAGTAGTGCCTTTAAAAGCATTCCATGCCATTCCATTCCATTATGTGGCATTGGACGGATATGTGGGCTATGGTTGTGATTGTTAGCGTTGTAGCTAGTTTTTTTTTTCTTTTTTGTTGCGGTGGCATTAAAGTCCATTAAAGGCACTACCTCCTCCTCCATTGTTCTCTTTCTCCCACTTGTTTGGGTTTGGAGGCTGCAAATGAAAAGAATTTTCCATCCGCTAGATATGAAGTAAAATGGAAATTGCAACGAATTATGAGTTAATATTTGTTTTGTTATTAGCAGTGAGATTGGGTCGAACGGGGGGTGGGGTAGAGCGTGGTTGGTGAGGTTTTTTATTTTCCATTGTTTCTCTTCTTTCCATGAAATCTGTTTAAAAAAGGGATACTGTGTTCATTTTGATTTTCTTTTATGTTTTATAGCCGGATGACCTTCTGAAGATCTCTTAAAGGTCTTTTATAGAAAGCAGGACATTGAATATTTCTAAAGGTCATATATTGACAGAAACACCACTGAAGGTATAAAGAAGAACTTTTGGGGGGTGTCATAGATAGAAGACCTTCTAAAGGTCTCCGATGTTAAAAATCTTTAGCAGAGCATCTATCCACAGGGGATTTTCAGAAGGCATCCTAATGACTGCAAACTTTTTGATGATCTGCTGATAGAAGGTCTTCTAGGAGAGACTATATTCTAAATGTCTCCAAACAGGAGGTCTCTTATGGATAGAAGACTTTCTTCTATGGTTAGAAGGTCATCTGTAGGTATCCTAACAGGTTTAGCCCATTTAAAGAAGTCACAAAAATAAAATTTCTTAAGAGGGCTTTCTGTAAATGGAAGGGCTTTTAAAGTATATTCTAACAAATATACTTTGAAGGTTTTCTTATCTTTAAAAGACATTCTGAAGCTCTCTGAAGGTTTCATATGAATGGAAGTCCCCCTGAAGGACACTCATATAAAAAATGTCTGGGAAAGTAGATATAAGATCTGAATTTGAAGGTCGCCTGTAGATAAACGACCTTTTGAACATATGCTATTCACCTTTGACCAAAGAGGCCACAGACTGTGACAGGCGTGGATTAAAAAAATTTTTTTTGAAGGACCAACTGATTTATAAACCCGGATTTTTTAACAATTTTTTTTAAGGACAAATTGACGAATAAACTTGAATTTTTTAATTTTTTTTTCAAGGACCATTAGACCAGTTAACGTGGATTTTGAAATAAATTTTTTCAAAGACCAACTGACCCATAAACCTGGATTTTTTAAAAATTTTTTTCAAGAACCAACTGAACCATGAACTTTATTCAAGGACCAACTGACTCAAAAATTTGGATTTTTTAAATAATTTTTTTCAAGGACCAACTGACCCATAAACTTGGATTTTTTAAATAAATTTTTTCAAGGACCAACTGACTCATAAACATGGATTTTTTAAATATTTTTTTAAGGACCAACTGACCCATAAACATGGATTTTTTAAATAAATCTTTTCATGGACCAATTTTTTCAAGGACCAACTGACCCATAAACATGGATTTTTTAAATAAATTTTTTCAAGGACCATTAGACCAATAAACATGGATTTTTTAAATAATTTTTTTCAAGGACCATTAGACCAATAAACGTGGATTTTTTAAATAAAATTTTTCAAGGACCACTAGACCAATAAACGTGGATTTTTTAAATAAATTTTTTCAAGGACCATTAGACCAATAAACGTGGATTTTTTAAATAAATTTTTTCAAGGACCATTAGACCAATAAACGTGGATTTTTTAAATAAATTTTTTCAAGGACCATTAGACCAATAAACGTGGATTTTTTAAATAAATTTTTTCAAGGACCATTAGACCAATAAACGTGGATTTTTTAAATAAATTTTTTCAAGGACCATTAGACCAATAAACGTGGATTTTTTAAATAAATTTTTTCAAGGACCATTTCACCAATAAACGTGGATTTTTTAAATAAATTTTTTCAAGGACCATTTCACCAATAAACGTGGATTTTTTAAATAAATTTTTTCAAGGACCATTTCACCAATAAACGTGGATTTTTTAAATAAATTTTTTCAAGGACCCAAAGACCAAAAATCGTGATTTTTTTAAGAATTTTATTCAAAGACCCATAGACCCATACCGAAAGACACTTAATATCAAATTTTGGGATTCCAACTCTATACCCTCACGTAACATCAATTTCGGATACCAACAGAGACCTCAATATCAAATTTGAAGATTTCGGCACTATTCCTTCACCAAATACCAAATTTAGTACCATTTAGTACTTTTTCTCCTGCTAGCGGAGGTTATAAAAGCGTCTTCTTATTTTCTCTTTGTAAAACCCAGAACTTTGCTAAAAATTTGGTCCTTCGTTTACGAAGAATGCCTCATTCATTTCCAATTAAATTTTCCCAAAATTTGGTCCTAAAATTCCAAAATTCTTACATTTCCAAAATATCTCTCTCCAGTTGCACTTACCTTGAATTAATTTGCGTTTGCCGGCTATCTGCAATGGCAGCGAGACACCTGCATCCAGTTGTAGCACCACTCGCGGTGGTGAAGAGGACGATGTGGCCGCCGAGGTGGATGATGATGCTGATGATGATTGTCCTGCTGAATTAGCCGCCAACGCCGCCGAGCATGGTGAAGATTGTTGAGCTGACACAAAATTGCAATTGGATTTGATTCTTAGAGGAGAATTAGCCAATGCCAATGTTTGTGGTGGTTGGACTGCTGCTGTGGCACATGGAGTCGGTTGGTGATAGTGATGAGAGGGGGCCGAGGAAGCATGTAGGCTTAAGAGCTGTTGATGGGAGTGTGGTTGTTGATGTTGATGCTGCTGCTGCTGGTGGGAGTGGTGATGATGGGTGTGCGGCTGTTGGTATGTTATGTTGGTATATGGCAAGGAATTGTAAGAATTTACAATTCCTGCAGGTGTGGCCAAGGCTAACGAGGATGTGCCCGCCACAACGGATGCTGTTTGATTTCCTATGGCGGCCAGGGGTGGATGATGGCTGGGGAGATTATTGGAAGCAGTGGATGCTCCCAGAGCCACAGCACTGGGTGGTGGTCCATGAGCTGGACAAATGGAGTGAAGCTCCCCATTGAGGTCCATATAAACGGGTGTTGCATTTGCCGTGCCCGTCGAGCCATCCACCAGGGGCCAGGCGGCCAGTTCTCCATTCATTGTGGAAATCAATTGTATGGGCAAGAGATGAGTGCTGAGATGAGCTGGATTGGCATTTGAAGAATTTGAGGTAAGATTGAGAACCGTTGTTGCATTACCACCGCCAATATTAGAGGTGGCAGGGGTGGTGGTGGCACCTGTTGCACCCCCCAAAGGGGGTAGATGTATGTGAGGTATACCCTGGCCCATCAGGGCCAGCAAATTTTGAGCACAATGTTGTTGATGGGTGGGAGGTATGAAAACTTGTGCTGGTTGTACAGCAGGTTGTTGCTGCTGCTGCTGGAGGTTGCTAGGTGGGAAATTCATCAACACATTACTGGCCATTATTTGTGGTGGTTGTTGTTGTTGTTGCTGCTGTGGATTTTGTTGATAGTAAATGGTGGTGGTGGTCTGCTCATAATTCAAATATGTGGAAGAATTGGGAGGCGAAGTGGCCGCTGAGGAGGAGGCCAGGTTGACAGCACCATTGGCATACCCCTCGCCATGGGTATTGGCAATAATGGCCGCCTCAATTTGAGCTTTTGTCTGCGATGAAGGCTGAAAGGGTGGGGCCAGGGGAGTCAACTTCGATTTCAAGGCCTTCAACAGGGTTTTGTTTGTCGCCGTGGACGTAGAGGGCTTCTCCTGGGCCAAATGGCCACGATTCCCCTTCGCTTTACGATTTTTCGTAGCCAACTCTTTGGACACATCACAGTTGAGACTCTGCATTAAACGTTCCGCCGCAGAGATTCCCGAAAACCGACGCGTATTATTGTTATCATCAACCGTACGATTACCGCTTATCGGCTGGCGATTTGCGCTTATCGAATTCGCCGCACACGTTGAACGTTTCCCGCGACGAAACGGCGAATTGCCCACCGAAGACGATTCTTTGGCCTTCACCTTGGCCATGTGGCGAGGAACGAATTCTTTAATCTCTCTGGGCTCATTGTTATACACCGCCTGGGCATTATCGATAACTTTGAAACTATCACCGATAAATGCCACCAATTCGGAACAGGAAAAATTTATCGAAGGATTGGTGTAGAGCGGATGTTTGTCCAGCGATTTCAGGGAGTTATCTGACAAATTGCTGCCAACTCTCTTGAGAGGCTTCGTTCGGTTATCCTTGCTGGAGGATGTAGGCAGCGGCTCCTCTGCCCCACCACCCCTTTGAACTTTAAGGCTATCAGGTAAAATTTTAAATATTTCCTGCCATTTGTCATTGTCATTGGATGCCGGACCATTTGTACTTCTCTGGTGGCCAAATTTCTCAAAACTACTGCAGCATTTATCGACCTCATCGGGTCCATGGTTGCCATTGCAATTGCTATCGATAACCTGTTCAATGATGCGGAAATTTTCAAAGTCTATAATTCTCTGTTCGTATATACAACTCTGTGAATAATTGGGTAGATCACGGTCATCGATATCATCATCATTATCGATATCTCCATTATCGATATCTCCATTATCGATATCTTCATTATCGATATCTCCATTATCGATATCATTTTCTCGATTATTGTCAACCTCCAGGCCAAAGCCATTCTCCTTCACCACCACTACAATCCCAGCAGCATTTGTCTCATTCGAAAAACACAAACAATTATCGTTACATTCACCACTCGATTTATCGATAACATTGTAAGTAGTATCACAGGAATTTCGTATACCTATATTTACATTGGCACAAGCTGCCCCAGCCAGAGAGTCCTTTACAAAATTTACATTCACATCATCCTCAGTATCCCCAGTTACGTGGTCAATGCCATTTCCGATAATTCCATTATCGTGTGTTATCGTTTCTCTACTCTCCCTTTCCGTTGAAACGTCACACAGATTCTTGATAAGTTCCATTTCGGTTTGGGCAAAATTCTCTTTGCTCCCCATGGAATTTGAGGTCACCGGATTTCTCTTTGAAGACGTCATGCTATCGATTAACCGATCGCCGCGTCTCATTATGCGCATTGGTTTTGGTTTTTGTTGCAGAGAATTTGCAAGAGATTTTTTGCTGGTATGCGGTAGGGGACTCTCCAAATCACCACCCCTCATTGTATTGTCTATGGTGTTTGCCTCCGCCTTTGGCAAAGGTTTAAACTCCTTTGCATTTATCGATAAACTTTGAAATTGCTTAACAGAATCCGAACGTTTTGTTGTTATCGTCAATTTATCGTTTTGCATGGTGGTCTGTTGTAGGGTTTTCATTGTCAATAACATATGAGTTAGATTTTCAATTTCGATAAGTGAGTTTTATTTTTTTTTTTTTTTCTTTTTTATTTCAATAATTGATATTATTTTATTTTTCAAAACTTTTGTTATGTCACTACCATTTGTTATGGAAAAGTTTTCAATTTGATTTTTGCCAACATTTTTATCAACACTTGTTTCTTGACGGTAGTTCTCGAATATAGATTTGTTATCGAAATCATGATTGAGATTTATCGAAATATATTTTATTCACAAATTATTTAGAGAAATGTTTACACTTGATTGTATTCATGTGTTATCGATTTTAATTCGATTTCCATATGGTATTTTTATTGTTTCATTGTTTGTACTGTGTTATGTTATCATTATCCATTTACGAAGCGAAACCAGTCGCCTTTAAAGGATCAATTCTTTTGTTTAAAGTCATTGCCATTTTAGGCATTTTATAGGTTATTTTCAGGTCGAAATCTATAAAGAAAAATAAATATTACTATATTTTTCACTCATTTAAAACGTTATCGATAAATAATCGATTTGATGTTTATTAAATATCTACTATGGAGAATTGCTAGAAAAGTTGATATGTTAGACACAATTTAGTATTTCTGAAAATTTTTGTTGTTATCGATAATTTATCGGACATTGTTGTAAATATTTAAAAATTTAATAAGGTATAATAATATTTTCGGTTTCTTGCAAATGGATTAACCTATCAATATGATATTATTTATTAAAATGTTATTGAAATTACATTTGTTCTAAATTTATTAGCTTTAGAGTTGTGGGACGTTTAAATTTTCATTTGAAACAGTATTACTGTCAAAAAAATATTACATTTTTTTTTTTTATGTTATCGACAAGCTGTTAATTTTTGTGGTTCAGCGGCTATTTTATCCAAAATTTTCGGTGAAATATGTTATTTTTTCAATTTGTTTTATTTATTGATATTTTTTGTTAATATCATTTACTATTAGCTATGTTTTCGTCAGTCATCTTTTATACCCGGCTTCTAGTATATCATAATCCATTATCGAAATTTGATGTGGTTTGTCGATAATTAATCAATTTATCGATTCTTACCTCATTAACGATAAAACACTTATGACTTATATTTCCTGGCAAGTTTCAAACTTAATTTATTTATTTTGTTATTTTTAAACGATTCTCACATTATCGATACCAGTATTTACTTCCTAATTAATTACAATAATTGTTATTGTTATCGATAATTAATAACTTTTCCCTGAAAACGTTAGAATTTTTCGGATTTTCGAAACTTAATCAACGTTATTAATTAATTCGGCGATTGTGGATTTGTTATCGATAAAAAAGGGATATTTGAATTTTCGGTGAAGTTTTTATTCATTTATTTATTTTTTGAGTTTTTCTTATTATTGAAGAGTAGTATTAAACAAAATTGTATTTTTATAGTATTTCGATGTTGCCTTTGTTATCGAAAATTAATTGTTTTGATGTTCCACTATGTTTTGTAATGTTTTAATTGACTGCAACTTCGATACAAAACTTTTGTATCTAATATTCATTATTTACTAATTTATTACAATATTTGTTATTGTTTATCGATAGTTAATCGATTTAGCTATTGTTGATGTGATATCGATAAAATTATAATGACATAACCATTATGGCACATCCAAGCTGTCAATCGAAAGTTAATCGACTTATCGAGTGTTAATTTGTTATCGATAGCGCTTTTTGGATTATTCATGAGATTTCATTTTTTTATCAATGCAAAATTTTGTCTAAATTTTTATTTGTTCGATTTTTTTACTATCGATAATTTATAGTCGATATACAATCGATAATTTATAATTGTCGATAATTAATCAAATTATCGATTATCATATTCGAGCCTGTTTTCGTTATACATCTTCTATATTCGATTTTCTCTATTATGCAACATTTGAGCTGTATATCGATAGTTAATCGATTGCATTATTTGCGGTATTTAATATTTTTTGATACTTTTACTAAGAAAGAATTATTTTGAAAGACTTTTTTTTAATTTTTTATTTATCGATAATTAATGCTTGTCTTATTTTATAATGTTCGTAAATGCTTAAACACGTAACTGCCGGAACGCTATTGCTGGTATATCCGATTTTCTTTAATACAAAAATTGATTTTTATCGTTTTTATTTTGTATCGACAATTTATCGATTTATTAATCAATTATTTATTATTGGTTATCGATAATATTATTATAATCGAAAATATTTTCATTTCATAATAGATGTTATCCGATATCCATCATTTTGTATAGTTTATCGATAATTTATCGATAGTGGAATTGTTATCAATACCACTGTATATTTTTCTTTTTCTTTGAGTGCCATCCTTTTTAAGCCTTTTAATAAAAAGAATCTTTGTGATTTCTTTTTTTTTTTTTTGGTATGTTCAATTTTTTTTTAATTGATTTTCGCCCTTTAGTTGTTCATTGATGTTTTATCGATTGTTAGTTCGTTAACGATGACATTATTATCTATCGATAATATTTTCGTTGCACAACTACTACATTTGATTTTTATCGTTTTTTTTTTGTCATTTAAATTGTTTATCGACAATTAATTAATTTATCGATTGTTTATTTGTTATCGATAACACATAATTTTCTTAATTCTTCTGGAGATTACCGTTTCTATTTTTTAGGTTTTTGCTTTTTAAAAATTTTTGTGATAAACATTTTCTTCGTAGATTTTTCGTTATCGATAGTTAATTGCTGTTGATGTTAACCATAATGTTCTCCACGAAACTGCCGTTAAGCAATAACATTTTTAGTAACACAAACTTGATTTTTACTGTTTTTATTGTGTATCGATAAATTATCGACTTATTGAAAATAATTATTAATAACTCCTATATCCGATTTCCTTATGTCACTTCTTTTTTTATATAGTTAATCGATAATTAATGAATTTATCGATTGTAAAATTAATATTAATACCAATTTTTTTCTTTTATATTCTCACAATTTAAACTTTTTTAGTCTTTTATAAAAAAAAAAATATTCTGAAAATGTTAAACTTATTTCCTTTTTTTGTTATCCATAATTTATAGTTGTCAAAATCAATCATTTTTTCTCACAATTAACTATTGTCATGAAACTGCCGTTATGCTATTGGTGGTATATCGAATTATCTTTCATATAAAATATTTTTATATTATGTATCGATAATTTATCGATCTGCCGATTGTTAATTCGTTAACGATAACATTAAAGCAATTGATAATATTCTCGTTACACAACGTCTGCATTTTATTTTTATCGCTCCTTATTAATTTATCATAAGTTTGCTATTATTTATCGATAATTAATTAATAGATATATCGATCGATAATTTACTTTTTTAATACTTCGATATTTATCATTTTTGATACCTTCTCAAAATTTCAACTTTTTTTTATAAATTATTATCCATAATTTTTATTGATGCTTTGTTATCGATAATTAATCGATTTATCAACTGTAAATTCGTTATGAATTACACTTCATTTTTTTCTTTTCGGGATATCAAAAAATTTATATTCTTTTATCAACAAAGAATCATTGTAAGAAGGTTTTAATTTTTTCAATTTTTTTGTTATCGATAATTAATCGATTTATTAACTGTAAATTCGTTATCAATAACACTTCACTTTTTTTCTTCTCGAGATATCAACTTTGTTGTCATTCTTTTATCAACAAAAAAGTATTGTAACAAGGATTTATTAATTTTTTTCGATTTTTTTTTTTTTGTTATCGATAATTAATTCTTATTAATATTAACCGTTTGTTTTTATTCCGTAATGTTCTCCATGTAACTGCCGGAAAGCAACTGGTAAAAAAAAAACTTGTTGCTTGCCTGGTTTCCTATGAAAAGTTAGTTTTTTTTTTGTTCCAGCTGTGTATTAAAGGAGTTGGGGTGGGGGGAGAGAGGGAGAGAGGGAAGAGGACTATGGTGCTGTGATAGTGTCGCCACTGAAGATGCATTTATTGGTTACACAGTGGGTAATGTTGTTACTTTTGTTGTAATTGCCAGTAGTTGTTACTTAAATATCAAGTACCCAAGTCTATGCTGATCATGATGAAATTTCCATCACTCCTCACAATGTCCTTGTAATGGTTACTCTGCTGCCACCATGTGGGTGGTCACAGTTACCATCATTAGACGTATTTAGCATAAATTTTTACAAACACGTTATCGCCAACAATCTTCGGCGTCATCACCATTGACATCGTCATGAGTCAGTACTCCATGGCAAGATAGTCTGCCATAGATAGCTGGGGCCCTGTGGCTCCTTTGCTCCCAGTTAAGATAATACAATAATTAATACGTTGACTACTATCATCAGAGTCATATACCCCTACGCTCCAAACATCGACACGACACGACACGTCAAATAGCTTTCACTTTGGGCAACCAATATTCGTTAGACGTCAATTGCTGTCAGTGATGGTGGTAGGGGTGGTGGTATGATGGTGGGGGTGTATGAGTCTGTCAGCCAACATAATTGCAAGGGCTGCACACGAGCAAGGGTTTGATAGGCAAAGCCTGTGGGTGATGGTAACTGCCAGACAACAGCAGGAGTTTATCTCTGTGAAAGAGAGAGGGAGAGAGGAGGTGAGGAAGAGAGGGATGGTGTTGGGGCCTAATGTAACTCTATTAAAATAATCGATTTATCAAATGCCCCGGCTTGCCCTCTCGCACCCTACAATAACAAATTGTTGTTAATAGTGGTGCAACAACTTGTTGATTGGATTCTTCAGCCAGGCTGGCTGGCTGACTGACGGACTGCCTGGCAACTTAGAAGGATGTAGCCAAGCGTTGATATGGCTGGGCCTGGCGGCATTTATGCTGTCGCCAGCTTCTGTGTTCAATTTTCAAAGAGGGTTAATAATTCTCTTGTGGTGGCCTCACCCCTGGTTGGATCGCTAGTGTTTTTATACCCTCCACCATAGTATGGAGAGTATATTTAGCTTGTCATTCCGTTTGTAGCACCTCGCAATATACATTTTAGACCCCACAAACTATATATATTCTTGATCAGCATAAAATTCTATGTCGATTTAGCAATGACCGTCTGTCCGTCTATCCATCTGTCCGTCTGTGGAAATCACTCTAGCTCTCGAACGAAATGAAGTACATTGATAAACATTTACTCCAATGTGTATTATATCTGCAGGACTTTTGGTACTGAAAATGGGCCATGTAGGTTCACGTCTTCCTATAGCCCCCATATAACGGTATCTCCGGATATGCGGTATTTTGATGATTTAGCGGAATTATTTCAAATTTGTTATTTGAAGTTCGTAATGGATACTACAGCCTAAGACAGAAAATGAGCCATGTAAGTCCACGTCTTCGTATAGGCCCCATATAACGGTTCCTCACGTTATTCGGTATTTTGGTGATTTTATAGACATTACCTACCGGAACTATTTCAAACTTTGTATTTGAAGTT